GCGCTTCAACTTCACCAGCGGCAGTGGTGATAAGCTCGGGGGAGAAGATAAAGGAGAAGCCAGACTTGATAAAGGCGGTCCAGAAGTCGAGGAAGCGACCGGTGTTACCGCCCACCAAGTAGGGATTGAACGCGCCCGGGTTGTCCCAGTAGCGAAAGCCGAGTCGATCATGGTTAGGGCCACCACCAAAGAAAAGCACCACGCCCAGGATAATCAGACCAATGATGGCAAGGATCTTTAACGTTGCGAACCAGAACTCAGCTTCTCCATACCATGACACCGCGACGATATTGAGGAGCAGAATCACTGTGATTGTCAGAATTAATCAAGAACTGCTAAATAGAAGGAGGAACATACCGAGGAGGATGATGGTGATCCACACCCCAACATTTATGGAGGTGGTCCAGTACTGGATGATAATCCCGGCAGCCGTCACTTCACTTGCCAGTAACATGGCAAACGAGTACCTAAGAGGCATAAAGATTAGATTGTGTTGGTGAACGGAGAATAATGTCAGCCCACCAATAGTTGTATCCTAAATCAGAATTAGCTTATTACTGCAATGCAAAATTAAAATAAACATGTCAGGTACAATGTAAAACATACCAGCAGCGAATCCGATACTAGGCTCCGTGTAGCGGCCAATTACATAAGGGACCGAAATGCCCTTGATGGGCAGATAGGTGGTCATCTCGCCCAGCACGTTCATCACAAACCACACCACCGTGGACATGGCAAAATAGCCCATGAACAGTGGTGCTGGGCCCACCGTCGACAGCGTGGATCCCGAACCTACGAAGAGACCGGTGCCAATACAACCACCGAGAGCAAGCAGCTGCAGCTGTCGAGAGGAAAGTCCACGCTGGGTGTCTGTGTTTGGCCCATGGTGGATCTCGCCCTTGAGTGCCTCGGGGTCTTCATCAACATATACGGGAGGAGATGTCACTTCATTTGCGGACTTCTCAGAGTCCTTGAACGTCGGTGCACCCATTCTGGTGTGTACAAGAACGAATAATGTACTGATGCGAATGACTAGAACAGTCGAAGATGGGAATTGGCTACGGACGTCTTATATGGGTGTCGCAGAGGCGACCAGCTGGCCTGTCTCAGCAAACATGCTTATCAGGACCAACACGAGATGACTTTGAGCTACGGGCCGATGGCGCAAAGTCTTCCAGAAGGACGCCATCATTGGCTCCCAAGGGCTCTGGGGAGGCGATATGCGGGGGTTTAGCATCTTATCTCTAGTTTGGGTTTACATACGAGCAGTGTTTCTCGTTAGAAGATGGGAAGGTTTGGTGGCTGCCACAGGTTCCCTTATCTGCCTGGCTGGCGGGCGGGGATCGTCCGACGCGGCAGGGACATGGATGCGATATCAGGTTATCTGGCTTGCTCATTGTTTGATATGGATCGGGTTTTCATTGACGATTTAAGCTTCTGTAAAGCTGTTAGAAACCGGCGGCGTTCCTCGTGGCATTAGAGTAGTATTAGACTGCTGCAAATCCGGGGTTGTTCTCCGCACCACTGTGGGCGTATTCTAGAGCGTGAAGAGAGCTGAATCCACCGCGAGGTTGCTGTGACTAAGAGAAACTCCAACATTGCCAAACCTGTTGATGGAGTCATTCTGTTACCTAATGGCATGGTTCATCTTTGCTCCTTTGGAAAGCTTGACCCATCCATGCTGGCCATCCGTTGCCATTATTGGTGAGTCGGATGCCTCCCGGTGGAGCTTGAATGGAACCTTCCAGCACTAAGCCAAATACGGCTTGTAATATTTTAATGCCTGATTATACAGGCATCAGGAGATATGGTGCCTGGTGGCGACCTTTAAAGGCAGATTCCGTGGCTGTTTCTACTTTGTACCGAGTACACAGTATAGCCAGCAACAGCGATGTTGTTCAAGAGCTAGGAGAGGGTGATACCTTGACCTGACTACAGATATGATCGAAAAATATAGTATTTTTCTATCAGCGAGATCGGCCTGCTTGTACGTCCTGCCAGGGGTACACATTATTCTTTTCCATGCTGGCATAGTAATCGTCTCTAGTGAATCTGTAGCCCAGCAGCACGACCGGGCCGGTCAAGCGGCGACAGCTCCGGTGGGGATGAACCCACCGGCCCGCCTGCCGGTCATCGCCAATCTCTTATCGACCACTTATCAGGGTTATCGCCAGATCGATAACCTGGACTTTTTTTGACCCCTCCAAAAAGTACGGGAAACAAGGATGGTTAGGGTTTTGGGCACGGGACCCTTGGTGCTTTTGTCTATAGTTCGAGATACTTTCTCATTTGCTAGGAAGCATAAGGCGTAGTCAAGATCCAGTCAAAACCCTCCTATCGAGTAGTGACACACACCACCCCAACTCCAGTTCATCGGTAAGCTCGAGCGAAGCCTACAGTAGCGGGCGATCAGGCGTAGATCTAGACACAACTGGCCGGGTCAGGTGCAACAATGTTATAGTTGGCCACCCTTTCACTGCAACGCCACCCGCATCATCTCCCAGTCACGGCTAGCCAGTTTGCATTATCTAACGTCACGGGGATGAGCAGCCCCGAAAAAAAAGAAAAAGGAAAATGATAGTAATGGCTGTCCGGGTTGTATCTGACCAGGAGAAAGAAAGCCAATGCTGACCGGCTTTCAGTCCACTTCCTGCCCGGTTTCCACCGGTACGGGAACCGCTTCTTTCCATCCCCCATCTACTAGTTACACTAAAGAAAGATCCTCCACTTGCCATACTTCCATTCCCTTGCGATGCATTTCATACCACTACAAATTCCCCTCCTTTGTCTCCAGACCGAAGAACTACTTATTTCTATCACCGCTGCGTGACTCTTCTGTCTTCCACACTCATCCTCCCCTCCCCCCCTTGCCACCTTCTTCTATACTCGCCACTTAATCTACCATCATCATGAAGGCTGCCCGCCGTCCTATGCGGGTGCTCTCGAGCGTCCCCTCTACATACTCGTCCGCCAGATACGTTAGCCGCACCAGCAACCCCAAATCTTCCGCCGCTGCGTCTACCCCCACCAACAACCTGTTGCAGCAGCAGGCTGCCGTTCCCTCCAACGATGCCTCGGGATCTCCCCTGGCTAAGCTCCCCATCTCCTCCGTCCTGCGGTCGCTGGTGATCCTCTCCGTCTCCTCTTCCACCCTCCTGTTGAAGCCGTGCATCTTTGCGCTCTCGACCCTCGCGCACCCCAAGACCCCCGTTCTGGACGTCGCCAAGAACCCTCTGTTGAACGCGCTCGTCAAGCACACCTTGTACAAGCAGTTCAACGCCGGTGAGAACAAGCTCGAGGTGCAGCAGTCGATCCAGGCCATCAAGCAGTTGGGCTACCGGGGTGTTTTGCTGGGTTACGCTCGCGAGGTCCTGGTGGGTGAGGGCAATGTCGACCCTCGTGATGAGAAGGCCGCGCGCGCGGAGATCCAGACCTGGCTGGATGGTACCCTGCAAACCGTCGACATGGCCCAGGAAGGCGACTTTGTGGCCCTGAAGTAGGTTTTCCCCACATCTTACTCGAATTGGATCATGTACTAATCTTTACAGGTTCACCGGTATGGGTACTCAAGTGCTTGAGTTCCTGCAGAAGCAGGCTGCTCCCTCCGAATTCATGGATTACGCTATCACAAAGGTCTGCGACCTGGCCATCTCGCGCAACGTGCGCCTACTCGTCGATGCCGAGGAGCAGGCTGTGCAGCTGGGTATCGAGAAGTGGGCTCTGAAGTACCAGAAGTACTGCAATGCGAAGACCCCCGGCCACGCCATTTTCTACAACACTTACCAGGCCTACCTCCGCTCGACCCCGGCCACCATTGCCAAACACCTTGAGGTTGCTCGCCAGGAGGGTTACACTGCTGGTGTGAAGCTGGTCCGTGGTGCTTACCTGAAGACCGAGCCTCGCCACCTGATCTGGGCTGAGAAGGAGGAGACTGACGCCTGTTACGACGGTGTCGTCGAGGCTCTCCTGACTCGCCGCTACAACTCGATGCTGCAGCCCGCCTCCGAGGAGCACAAGACCGAGCTGCCCCCTGTCAACGTTATCATCGCCACTCACAACCGGGACTCCGTTCGCAAGGCCCACGCTATCCGTCTCCAGCAGGCTGCTCGTGCCGAGAAGCAGGGAGTTGATCTCAGCTATGCCCAACTTCAGGGTATGGCCGACGAGGTCAGCTGCGAGCTCTTGCAAGGCTTCTCCAGCGCCGATGGCCCCGCTTCCCAGGAGACCCCGAACGTGTACAAGCTTCTGACCTGGGGTACTGTCAAGGAATGCATGGGCTTCCTGATGAGACGTGCTGTGGAGAACACCGAGGCGGTTGGCCGTACCAAGCAGTCGCAGGAGGCTATGCTTGGAGAGCTCAAGCGCCGCGCTCGTCGCGTGTTTGGCTTGGGTAACTGATGTTGTTCTATGATACCTCTTGACTCGCATATTTGTTTTGGCTTTTAGCCTGTTTGGCGCATTGTGTGGTTTTGTTGGCTGATTCCCTAAGCGTGAGCATGCATGTAGATGGCGTTAGAAATTTGATTTACTTTTTCATGATAACGAAGCTTAACTTGAACTAGTTACTTGGTGCTATCATAGTGCGGCATAGATAGCCGCTAATCCACGTAGCGCGCGGCGGTGATGTCAAGAGGGACGGACAGTCGATCCATTCCCGACCCCGCGTTCCTCGCATCTACAACGTATTCTCGATTGCAACTCTCGATCGCAACGGAAGGCCACCCGACGTTAGTTCCTGCGAACTAGACCTTTCTTCTCGGTACTGATGTCCGATGATATCCGTGTCCCTTAGACGCCCAGGCACTTAAGTTGGTCTATCTCCGACATCGCTCCCCCGGATGCCGAGGGGCTATCTGTCTATAAAGGCTGCTGACCATCCATCAGGCACACTACTCACAACCAATATAACTATTGGCCTCCCATTTACTATACTCTATATCTCTCAACTCTTTTGAACTCTACTGTATAGGGTTGTTACATCGCCAACATTTTCATCTACAATGCGTCTTCTTCCTGAGCCAGCGGTCGCCCAGATCCTGCGACAGTTAACCCCTACACAATGCCATGACCTTCTTGATGCCATCTGTGAGGGTCTTACGACTGTATCTTCAGAGTCCTCCACACCCAGCCATGAGCGACTCGTCCACCAACCGCTGCGCAGCACCATCGTCACCAAAGACCAGAACCTCTCTCTCTTCATGCCCGTGTCCAACACTGTCCACACCGGCTTCAAAGTTGTAACCGCCTCCCAAGCCAACGGCATCATTGGCGTCATCAACATCTTCTCCCCGGAAGGTAAACTGCAAGGTCTCCTCAGTGCTGCGGAGATCACAGCCTTCCGCACCGCCTTGGCGGTGATGTCGCTGTTCATTCGCTGCACAACCATCGAGAGAGAGCACATCTTGATCTTTGGCTCCGGACGCCAAGCGGAGTGGCACGCTCGACTAGCCCTGCTTCTGGTTCCGGACCAGATTAAAAGAATTACATTTATTAACCGCGGTCGCCGGCGACTGGAGGAGCTGGAGCGAGATGCGATTGCTGATCTACGGGCTGCTCATCCCGACAAGACCTTTGCTACGCTGGTCAAAGAAGATACTCCAGATTACGAGGAACAGCTACGGGCTGAGTTGGGTGCTTCCGATGTGATCTTCAGTTGTACGCCGGCGACCGAGCCCAACTTCCCCTACACCTATCTCCAGCCGTCCAAGGGGCGGTTTATCTCTCTTATCGGCTCGTACAAGCCGCATATGCGGGAGATTGACACCGAGACGCTGCTGTCGGGCGGAGGGAAGGTCTACGTGGACTCGAAGGAGGCGTGTTTGGAAGAGTCGGGCGAGTTGATTCTGGCGGAGGCGAAAGAGGATCAACTGATTGAGATTGGAGAGCTGTATGGTAAGATGGGCAAGGATGAGTCTATTGATGTGCCGGAGGGATGTAATGTGGTGTTCAAGTGCGTAGGGATGGGAATCATGGATTTGGTGATCGGGAATAAGTTGTTGGAAGTTGGACGGGCCAGAAACATTGGTATGGAAGTGGATGGGTTTTAAGAATCATACTAGCTCTGCTACTAGGGAAAAATAGCTCCGCCTAATGGGTTCGATCATGGTTACTATAGTGATGATCCATCTATATCCGCGCCCCCCAGCTGTGATGGCTGGCCGGGCAGCCCTGCAGCGGCCAGTTTGAGTCACGCGAGCACCCTATTTAGGTATGAATGATAGCTTAACCCATCATCCAATCACAAGCAACTATCCGGAATGCACTAGCTTCATAAATCCGAAAATTGTAAAATCAAAAAAAGAATAATCGCAGATGGAAAGCATTCCCCGGAGGTCTCGGCGGTAGATCGGCGAAGGCATGGCTGAGTGAGAGTGTGCCGCCCTTTCTGATCTTATCAGTAAGAAGAAAGATTGGGAAGGGCCAGAGAATCCCCTTCTCCTCCTCCTTCGAACCCCGGGGAAATTTTCTTGTCCTCCGCAACCCACGCAACCCCAACTTGACCCTCTCCCCTCTTGCCTTATGCTTTTCCTATAATTCTACAATGCGCCTGCCTCTCCATCGGCCTCCCTGAACTCGAAACTGCCATGGATGTGGGCCCTGCTACCCCTGCTGGTCTGGGCCAGCAGAAACGACCCCGCGTTTCCGAGGAAAACCGCAAAAGAGCGGTGCGAGCGTAAGCTTCCTCCAATCCTTGATTTTATCTGCAAAATGCCCCGTCGGGATACCTGGGGATTGTTGAGATCTCTTGGAATGTATTACTGACCAGTATAGCTGCGATGGATGTCGTCGCGTAAAGGAGAAATGCGAAGGAGGCGTCCCCTGTCGCCGATGTCTCCGGTATCGTCGGCAATGCATCTTCACTCACCCCGATCAGGCCGAGAAGCTCGCTCGCTCATCGTCCGTCTCGTAAGTCGCCTGATACCTACTTTTCAAGGGTTATGAAACTGTACCGTGAGCTGTGGAGGCTGATAGACAATATGCGATGGGATTAGTCTCCTGGACCGCACCGTTGCTTTCAACCAACATGAAATGCTCGAGTCGGAACGTGTCCGCTACATGGAACGCATTCTTCAACACTATGTCCCAAACATCTCGTTCGATATACATTCTCTTCGGAAGATGGCGGAGGAGCTGAAACATAAGCATCGTCCCGCTGGAATGGAGGGTGGGCCGCCTTCCATGCAGTTGGATGGCGAGGAGCTCGAGGATTTGGCCATCGATGATGAGGACTTTACCATCAAGGCTTTGCCGGATAATACTACCCGTATGATTCTTCGACTTGTTTTGAATTTCGTTTTAGTGGTTCGGGCTATCTGACTGGTCTGCAGAATACTCGGGAGAGTTCTCGTATCTGAACTTCTCCATGAAGATTAGACAGAAGATTGACGAGTGGATGAAGACGGCAGCTCCGGAGGTAATCACAATCCTTCTCAGCACTCTTATTCTATTTCGCTGATGGGTGATAGGCATCGACCGAAACAGAACCGTTTGAAGAGCGATGGCGAGCGACTCAGCTACAGTCGGGTTCAACTTTGGTATCGACATCAGTCACCTGTCTTCCACCCCGTTTTGTCGCCGACTTCCTTGTCCAAATATTCTTCAAATATGCACAGACCAACAATTTCTACGTCGAAGAAGATTGGCTGCGAGATAAGCTCAACACCTGTTATACAGATCCGTCTTGTTTGTCGTCGAAGGATGCCGGCTCGGTTTGCGCCATCCTGATGGTCTTGGCTGTCGGAACACAATTTGCGCATATGGAATCGTCCATTCCCGTTAATCGTCTCTCTTCCAACTCGGCATTCGATGATGACCATCACTTCTCCGAGGACGATGTCGGTCTTACTTTCTACCAGTTCGCATCGAAGCTGTTGCCAGATATTATCGCCACGGCAAATGTCCGAAGCGTGCAGGCCTGCCTACTGATTGGAACTTATTTGTTGCCACTCGATACATCTGGACTATGCTATACCTACTTTGGTCTGGCGCTGAAGATGGCGATCCAGAATGGTATGCACCGGAAGTATACGGGGGAAGGACTATCGCCGCGTATGATTGAGATTCGAAACCGTGTGTTTTGGACTGCGTACACGATAGAGAAGTAGGTTATATGGCAGCCCCCTTGATTTCATCCGTGCTTACGATTTTTAGGCGTGTCAGCATTCTTCACGGAAGACCAGTGTCCTTGTTAGACGCAGACGTCGATGCCCCTTTTCCCACTGACTTTCAGGGCTTGACGCCATCGGGACATGTTTCGAACGATACGAACATGGTGACACTCATCAAGCTAACCCTCAAACTCGGAGAAGTCGCGAATGAAATGTATGTTCTAACTCCAGAGGGTACTTGAATATTGCTAACGCCAGTAGATCCGTCCTTCGCAAGTCCCGAAAGAACCAGCAACAAGATTGCTTGGAGAGGCTCCTGAATCTGCGGAAGAACCTAGTCGACTGGTGGGGAACGCTGCCCGAGGAAACCAACTGCAGGGATCTCAACCCAGCAGGGCCACTATTCCGCTCCAACGTGCACTTGAAGCTCGACTATTGTCTGACGCGTATCTTCCTGGGCCGGCCGTTCCTCTTCAGCACCAACCGGGCAGTCAGCTCAGCCACATTACCGGGTGCTCCGGTCAAGACACCATCAGGTCCCGCGAAGAACCGTTCCACATTGATTACGGATTGTGTAGAAGCCGCTCTCGAGATCATCGACCTATGTCGGCTCCTTCGTGACGAGCGCGGTCTTGCCCGTGCATCATTTACCGAGTTTAGCTCGTGTCGCGCTGCTTTACTCGTCATTCTAGCTCAAAGCTTGACCAAACGCACCGAGCGCCTACGCGAAGCATTAGACAAGGGCATGGCACTGATCAAGATCATGTCCATGGGAGTCGGCTCTGCCCGCGCTGCAGTGAGCGTCATCGAAACGCTAGAGCGAGCGATCCGTCGTCTCGAAGAATACAGCCAGACCCAACCCCAAGGCAGTACCGGTGTCATCGAATCAGCATACGACCGGTTCAAGAACTGGGAAATGCTGTGGAAGACCGGGCCCATCTCCCCGGAAATCGTCCCATTCCAAGAGCAGCAATATCATCATACTAGCAACGGACTCGCCCCGGTTATGACCCCTATGACGGGTGGTGCATCCACTGCGAACGAGCCCGTGGAAGCCGATGTGGGCAGCGCGAGTCTTCCCGACTCATCGGAGTTTTCTGTTTCACATCCTTTATCGCAGATGCCGCACTTTGGCCTCGATCACTTTGTTTCTAATCTGCCCCAGGAGTTGGGAGAGTTTACTGCCATCCCTTGTTTTGAACCTGACGGCCAGCCGAGCCTTTCTGGGGAGATGAAATCGGCGGATACGCGGTGGATGAACTTCATGAATGATTAATTGCCTTAAGGCAAGTCGACTTTCGTTGTGATTGATTTCAGCGTTTCGGTTTGGCTTTTCAAGGCTGTTGTGATGTGTTGCGTTGTTTATATGTTGATCCGTCTGTAAGAACCGGATTTCAGTTTCAAGATACCTAGACAGTATGTATATATTGTTTCACAACTATTAGTGGAAATAGCAGGACAATAAATATCCCAAAATAATTTTCAAACATCATGATGATATAATATCTACAAATGCTCTACATACAGAAATAGGATATCTCCTCTCCCTACTACTAATCAAACGTAACCTTCTTACCCTGGAAAGCAGCAGTAGCCTTCTGCTCCTTCGCCTTCCTCGCCGCCTCCCACGACGGATGCAACGGCTTATCATCCTCGGGCTTCTTCGCTGGCGGTCCACCACGCTGCGGCCGTCCAAACTGCTGGTTTTGCTGCTGCGGTCTACCCCTACTTCCATACTGTCCACCGCGTCCCCACCGCTCACCCCCATCCGTCGCTCCCCGTCTCACATCCCACCCACTATCGCGTCCCCCTCCCTTCCGCTTATTCTTCTCCTGCTTAACATGATTCGCTCCAGATCCGTACTTCTTCTCCCACAGCGCCCGACGCGCCTGCTGGCCCATGCGGTTCTTGCGTCGCGGGGGCTCGTTCGCCGCCGCGCCGTCTTCTGCCTCATCTTCGGATCCGGACCAGTATCCGCCCATTGTGAGTGATGGGAGGAATGTCGTGCTGGTCGCGGGCGTCGAGGAGGCTTTGCTGGTTGCTTTGGGCTTTTTGGTCGGTGGGGAGGAGGGGGACGGGGAGCGCGAGATGGAGATGTGTTGATCGTCGTCTGACTCTTCCTCCTCCTCCTCCTCCTCCTCCTCCTCCTCCTCCTCCTCCTCCTCTTCTTCTTCTACGTCGCTGATCTCATTGGGATCGAGATCTTCGCCGCCTTCGGATCCGTCTTCGTTCTCGTCGCCGGAATCGGGCGCCAGTCGCGCGTCGAATTGTGCGTAGTCGATGCTCTCTGCGTCGGAGCCGGCGGCGTCGGACATGTTGATGTCTTCGTCGCCGCTTGGGGAGGGGTCAGCGGATGCGCTTGTCCGCGCGGTCTCGGCATCGGCCTTCTTCTTGTTGCTGCTGCTCTTCTCCTCCTTGGAGGATTTCTTTGCATCCTTCTTCTTCTTCCCATCCGCTGGCTTATCCTCAATGCCCAGTAGCTTCCGTATCCCCTCCATAATCCCCGGAAAGACATTCTTCACCGGCGTGGACTTGTACAACCGTGCCGTGACGTTCGCTTCAGCCGTACTTTTCGGTCCCTCCGCGGATAACTTCTTCTTGTCTTTGAATTGGATGAAGAGCGGCGACTCAGCGATGCGTTTCGTCTTGAGGAGTTGCTTGAAGAGGTATTTTTCGGCGGTGGCGTGGGGGTCCAGTGTCTGTTATCATTTTTAATTCAGATGTTTAGTAAAGTAAAGGCCCTGAGAAGGGAGAGACGTGATGGATGTACCTTAACGACCTGAATCTCCTCCGCAATCCGACTCAACGTCCCCTCCTTCTTCTCTCCCTCTTCCTTCTGCGCCGTCTTCTCCCTTCGTCCGAGCTTCTGTCGCTCGAACCCCCGCGCTACCTTGAGCGACTTGGATAGCGTCATCACACCATATTCGAATTTCTGGAAT